CTTGTACTGAGTTGTCCTGTCTTAAGCCCGGATCTGCCCTCACTATTTGTTCAATTCCTTATGCCCATTTTGTCAATTTGTTGAGAACAATGTTTTCTGTACACATTGCTCTTTATAAATTATTTTTTTTCATTGTTAGTCTTCCATTCAAAATCTTTTAACACATACAGTTACTACCAATTTTAAAGTTAACATAGTAGTAAAACTTAAGAAGAGGCATCTTACAAAACCCATAATCTCTTAAACTTAAAATTCACTATCTTTATGGTGCTTAGTATTCTCCAGCTCTAATTTAAACATCGATCATACTTTTTCTACTGTGGATAGCTACTGCAATGTTCTTTATAAAAAGGTTTTTTTTTTTTTTTTTTTTTTTTTTTTTTTTTTTTTCCCTTAAGTAAGCTTTTTAAAAGTAGTTTTTGAAAGAACTTTTACTCAAGAGCAACAGTTCTAAGCAACAAAAGATCTGAAGGAGAAACATTTGAGAAAAGCAGGAGGGTGGAACTGAAGTCTGCAAGGGCAACAGAGCAGAAAAGGATCATCAATGAGTGTGTTAACTTGAGTGGCAGATGAGAATTAAGCCTGGGGAACAATGGAATGAGCTCTCAGCACTACACTGCTATCCTAAAAAAGCTTAAGTTTATATCAAGTGTAAGCCACTGTTACAACAATTTTCTCTTATTGAAAAGATCTACCTTGCTGTAATAAAATAAACGATGAACACTTTTTTTTTTCCTTTTGGAATTTTAAATGACCGTTCTATGAAGCTAGACGAAGCTTCACCTAATGCAGAATCCCTTTCTATCCACAATGATTTCTATAACTCAGGCAGAAAACAGCTACCTAAAGCAGACAAACTGCTCAGAAGAATGCTCTTCCGAGAAAGAAAGTTCATACTTAGGGGAAGTATGAAGTAGGAAGTGGGAGCTTAACATAAACAGCTATCTTACCTTGCCTTTGGAACATAGAAGTATTTCATGATTTAAACTTATTTATAGAAAAAATAAAACAGCTCTAGGAGAACACCAAATCAAAGAACAATTGCAAGTCAAGTTTATTCTCCTATCATCCCATTGATTAAAAGTGAAAAAAAAAAAAAACAAAAACACTGTTACTCGATACTCAGAAAAATTATTTGCATTTACAATAAAAAGACTAAAAAATTGTTTTTGCCATGGGAAATAATGTAGAATATTATAAAACAACACATGTTAAGTAGTCCACAGATCTTATCATGCTAGAAACTACAGAAATGTGAGAAAGATAGTTTTCATAAAGATACCTGTATTCCATGTTATTTGTGTGAACTAGAAGATATGACAAACTAATTCTCTCCTTGTATGTACTGCAAAGATTCACACTTACCAGCTAAAAACTTTTTTTTGACTTTATTTCTTTTTCACAATAAACATGAAAAAGATACAATCATGCATCACGGAAGATCAGTTATTCTCAGCTATTCTGTGTTATAGCTTTGAGGGAAAAACTGTCAGTGAAAAGTAACAGAAGAATACGAACATACATGAACAGACATTATCAGTTTAAACAGCTATGGGCACATACTGGAAACATGATTTTAGTTTCAGGAATTACTGACCTGTAGCCTAGAGGTGGAAATTTGCATGGTTTGTAAGAATTTTCTGCTTTTCTATCATTTTAATTTTCTTTCATGTGGGCTTGTATAATTAAATATATTACTGGACAAATGATTACTTCAAAAGTGATCTCTTCAAGTGAATTTAGACCTTAGCAAATGTTTCTTTCTCTTTATATAGAAAAATATGGAAGATTAATTACATTTTTAGGAGGCTGTAAAAAATTTCTTAATCTTTGAAACATCCTGAAAGTTAAAGATTCAATTCATGACACTGAAGTGTTTGTTGTTGTTGTTGTTTTTTAATTTTCATCGATTTGAAAAAAATCTTTATGTTGCTGTTAAAATTAAAATCAAATCTAATGTTTTAAGATGATAATCCTATACATTGGTCTATCATGGTTTTGTATACAGCAACTCTCCCCTTTATTTCCACTGTGATTAAAAGGATGTATGACATCTATTTATTTGTAGGTAGAATAAGAAGTCTGAAGAACCAAGATTTTTAATACTTGTATAAGTAAGTCTTTTCTGGTCCTATGGTTGATTTATACCTCTGCAGAAAAGACAAACATCAGATAACTTATTAATATTCTTTTAAAAAGAAAGATCATTCGAGCTACTGTAATGCCTTTGATTTTATTTTTTAAAGAACTATTTTGTTTAATGTTGCTTGCTTTGGAAGTGCTCCCACTCCATATGACTCCATTTGTTTTAGTTTCATTGACAGGCCCCTGCATAATACTTTTGTTTTTCTGGTTAACTGGTGACCACTGCATTAACATCATCTAACATTTTTAATTGGTAATTTTAAAGCCCAGCAAATATTTTAAATAAGATTTTGAGTGTAACATTTTCAAAAGTTGAGTAAATTCTTTTGAAAATGAGACATATGATGCTCAATATTTTTCTTTAATATACTTTTTAACACAATTTTGTTTCAAACAGTAGTTTCATATTTTACAAGACAGAATTATTCTGAGACTGATCTATTGGTAATAATCTATTGATTAATGGACTGATTTCAATCATGAGTATTTTCCTTTCTATTGTGTCAGTTAAGTGAAGTGTCTCCAGAAGGGCATTTTAAATGACACTGTTAGAGGCACTCTGAAAATGCCTATAATTAGACGGAAATGTTTTCAATTTTGAAATTTTATCTTGTAATTTATTGGTAACCCTTTTAAATTAATAATACAAAAGTTCATTTCAATTCAATAAAATTATCTGGGACAAAAAGACTAAGGAAAGAATTCCACAATCAAGATCATAGAATGGCTTGGGTTGGAAGGGACCTTAAAGATCATCTGGTTCCAACCGCCCACCAGAGGCAGGGATGCCACCCACTGGTTGGGCAAGGCCCCATCCAACCTGGCTTTGAACACCTTCCAGGGGTGGGGCATCCACAACTTCTTTGGGCAACCAGTTCCATCAGGTCACTGCTCTTACAGAGAAGAATTTCTTCTTAAGAATTTCTTCTTAATGTCTAATCTAAGTCTATAGATGATTTTTTTTTTTTTAGCTTAATCTCAACAGAGATCTGAGCCTCTGAGCACAGAGAAAGATGTCAGATCTGACAATATGCTAATGACCGTTCACATGTTTAATAATTCAATAACTATCTCCCTATACTTTTCTGACAGCTCTCACCATAAGGAAGCAGTTGTAATTCTCTTCTAATATCCTGCAAGAACTTGAAAGTAAACAAAGAGAAATGGTCACAAAAGCCAAAAATGCTGTAGTACCGCATATATAATATACACTGGCTGACTGCACTGATGAGCTTGATCTTTTTGCAAACTAATTTTTTAGTCATTTTGTGTTGAAGCTATAGGCTCTAACACTTTTTTACTGTAAGTCATTGAAATTCAAATGAAAAGGTCATTTATGTGTGTACATGTTATACCTTCAGAGAGTACACAATTATGTAACAGTTTTTATCAACTCTTATCTGACAGTGAACAGTGCAAGTTTCTGCATTTTTAATACTACTCCAAAGTTCTTAACGCTTAGCCACATTGAACTTGATTACTGTTGATGAGGAATCTTATATACCACTGCTCTGTCAACTTTGCTGTCCTATTTGACACTCTTAAAAATACTGCTTGTTTTTCCTGTTGGTCGCAATTTTGATATCTTTAATGCCTTGTGCACATTAAAATTAAGTATCACACAAGCAGCACATTGCTTGTGAATCACAAACTAGAAAATCATGCTAAAGAAAGTCTTACTGATATTTGCCTCATCTAAAGACTCTGTTGTGAGATGGAGTTCAATTTTTCAGAGCTCCATGAAAAGCTTTCTCTCCCATGCTTCAGTACACACCTCATTATTTAGACTGTCGATCCACTAACACAAAGCTAGAATAAGGTAGGACTGCCCCCATTCATTCCTGCTCTTCCTTTGTGATGCAACAATATATTTGAGCATCTGCCAAGTTAAATGGACCACAAAGCTGAGCTGAATGGAAACTAACCTAACATTTTAATCCACAACAGTTATCCAGTCTGGTTAATTCAATGGCAAGAAAAACTGTTATGATGACTCAGGAGAGGGACAACATAGGGAGAACTGTGATTAGCTGAGAGTAGGATGAAAATTAGTCTTTTCATCCCTAAACCTATTTAATTCACTAAACAGGCAGAAAAGTAATCAAGTGAACAAGTAGCGTTTCTTGTTTTCCAATTCAGAACACTGTTCAAGAGAGACTCTTCCAACAAAACACAGTTCCAGAAGAGATGGAAAACAGGAGAGAACATCCTCATGGCTATAAGCAGCATGGGTTTTAGAAACAAGGATGAATGGAAATAGTGTCTTCCAGTTCTGATGAAATGTTCCTTTTATATGAAAGAAATTTGCTTTGCCATATATTTGCTATTAAAGAACATAGAAAAGTCAATGACTAACTTAATTGTCTTTAAAATATTGTCCTTTTAGAATATCACCTTAGCTTCAGAAGCACAAATATATTAGCTTTCATTTATCTGTATACAAACATACATAATTTGTTGCAACGGATTCTAAAACTTATTTATTGCTTTCAAATCATTAATTGATTCCTCTCTTATTTAATCTTATTTATTTATTTTCAAATTCCTATACTTCTGATTTACTTCTAATGTCTACATTTTTTGTAGGCTAAAATCTCATTTTCTGACAATCAATGATTCATCAAGAGGGCACAAACGTTGCCAATTTGTTTGTACAGTATTCTTCATACTTTTTCTTTCAAAGGAATATAAAGATCATGTTCTGTCCCACCATGATGGTAGAAGTATGCTTCATGGCTTTATAGTTTTAAACAGCTTGCAGTCACATACTTGCTTAAAATAATCGTATCACTGAATGTCACTTAAATGAAAATCAGTAAGTTATAATACATGCTTTATATGACAAATTAAAATACCTTAGTTTGTTTTCTTGCATGCTGAGACCACTTTCTATGGGTGACAGTCTATCATGTGTATCTTTATGTGAATGAGTTTTCCCTTGGAGAAGCATCCCTCTGTAGTAGCGTCTGTAATCTAAATCTTCGTGCACATCTGAGGAGGGGAATTAAAAATAAAAAGATAGTAATTTTTGTCTATTTTGTAGAAGAAGCTTCTAAAAAGTAGTAAATATTTAATCCACAAATATTGTAAGTGACATGGAAATAATTCTGTTGATTCCAAAATATTATAATTAAATCATATGTTCTACATGAAAAGCAGAAGCAGAGTTCCAACATTACTTTGTGTTGATGAATGACTCGAAGAGCAAGGGCACGGGTCCCTAGAGGAATTGTACAAGCAAGGCAAAGAAAATACAGAATTTATAGCCATGGAGTAGGCCGGATGAGAAGCATTCTTGTGAAATGTGCAAGGAGCAGTCTGTCCTTGAGAGAGAGATAAACAGGTGGATCTGAGGCCCGGGAAGATAAGGAAGTAGCTTATGCGCTGTGACTGCAAGTGGGAGGAACAGTATTTTTTGCAACACTTTTAGGCTTAGCCAATAGGATAGTGACCAGTAGGTATAATTATCGCTGTGTGTATAAATATATGGATATCTGTGCAATAAAGTTGAAGCTTGTATTACCACTCATATTGAGTTGATCACTTGCTTCTCCATGCCAAAATCAGAGGGTCTCGCACCCACAACTTTGACTGTTGGAACTTTAAGAGGACCATGCAAGTCCCCTTTGTCACATGTACTTGGAAACGGATCATTTCACAATTGAAAAAATGTACTGTTGGATTGGGAAGAAAGCAGATCTCAATTTTCCAGTTCAAGTCCCATTCTTAAAGGTCCATATATTTCTCATGTGTCCATGCACAGTGTTCCAGGATTACAACAATTTTTAGTAAAGAATCAGATTTTACCTAACAGCATTTTATATTTGCCTAAAACTAGCCTTTTTTCAAGTTGTTATCTCTTTGGAAGGGTCTAGTAAATCCCATCTGCAATGAGATAGGCAAACTTACTTTCTGCATTTTACTCCATAAATCATACCAAGAGTTTTCATGAGAGGAAGATTCATGATTTGGCCCTGAACCTGAGGAAATTTTAGAAAAAAATCTGTTTTTTTTTTTTTTTTTTTAAAGTTCTTGTTATGTATTCAGAACTACATTGATTTATTTCCTTTCACACTATTTACTCACAGTTTGGTTAGCTGTCAAAAAAAGTAATATTAGACATATAAGCTGAAGAAACACTACAGAAAACAGGATATTGTGGTTTTCCAACTTCAAAATTTGGAACAGCACACCACCTAGACTTGTGCAAAGCACTTGACACTGATCCCCATGCTATCGTTGTCTGTAAATTGGTGAGACATAGATCTGATGAATGGACCGCTCATTAGATAAGGAATTGGCTGGATGGTCACACTCAAGAAAGTGTGGTCAATGGCTATGTCCAGTTGGAGATCACTAACAAGTGCTGTTCCTCAGGGTCAGTGTAGGGACTGGTGCTGTCTAACATCTTTGTCAGTGACATGGCCAATGAAATTGAGTAAAACTGAATGAAATTGAAAGAAATTTAAATTCAGCAAGCTTGTTGAAGATACCAAGCTCTGTGGTGTACTCAACACACTGGAGGGATAGGATGCCATCCAGAGGGATCTGGACAGGCTTGAGAGGTGGGATTGTGAGAACCTCATGAGGTTCAATAGGGCCAGGTGCAAGGTCTGCACTGGGCCAGGGCAACCCCAAGCACAAGTACAGGTACAAATGAGAAAAATATATTTTTCATATGGTTTATACTTTGACTGCAGAACAAAAGTTCTGTTTACTGAAGAGTCACCTAAAGAAGCCTTTTCCACTCATGTTTTATAACTGTTATAATAGTTATCTGCTTGTCTTTGTCCAAAACAACAATAGAAACTTATGGTAGACAGTAAACACTTAATATTTTCTCTCTTTGAGTTACTGAAAAAACTATTCTTACATTTTATTTATTTTTTTTAAACTGGTCTTGTCACCAAAATACCACAAAGTCTACTGTGGCCTAAGTTGTTCCTATCCTACAAGTACATTTTGGCCAAATCTATAACCTGCATACATTGGGTCTCAGAATCTAAGGATATAAACAGTACACACATATAAGTAATCTAAAAGGAAGGTATGATATGTATTATTCAGCTGTGCAAAACTGCTAACAATTGAAACATTGTGATTCTGTGATTCATTAACCTCCTGTTAGAAATGATTTCTCTCATGGTTAAGGCTTCTGTTTGTGAACATATGTTGAATGCTTCAGAGATTGAACCCCTGGGGGAAAACTCCAAGTTTAACTGATTTCAACAGGTTCTTGTTCATGCTTGCATTTCTATTCATAGGGGAAAATAAAAAGGTACAAAACACAACCACCTGGTCAAATGACAGCTTCTCAACTTAGCTGTGCTGTTGCTAGGCAAAGAAGTTCAGATGGACAAAGTAAGGTAATTAATCAGTAAAACTTGTTTAAATGTGTATAAACAGTAACAAATACGTCTTGATCATCTAATTCCAGCACCCCTGCTATGGGCAGGAATACCTTCCTTTAGATCAGGTTGCACAAAGCCCCATCCAACCTGTATCCCTTATGTATACATACATGTATATCCAAATTTTATTACTGAGAATTTGATTATAGAATTTTAAATGAGATCCTCATTTTACTTAATAGTCTTTTAATAGAGCTCAGTCTAGATGGCAGTGGTCAAATGAACACCTTACTGCTACCACAAGTAAGGTTAGCTCATACTTTTAGAAAAAAAAAAAAAAGCATCCATGAACGAATTATGCATTCGTTCTATGCTATATGCATATGCAAACTATGCATTAAAGAACTTCTCCAACACTACATACAATGCTTCAAGTCTGCATGAAGCTACATGTATATTGTCAGAGGAGCATGCGGGCCTCTCATTTTTACTGAATGCATTACATTGTTCTGCAGATGACGTACCTGGCATTCTCAAATAGGCAACTAGCAGGAAACATGAAGAGAAAATGCAGTCTTCAACATTCAAATGGAATTTGGCCTAACAGAAGATTGTACCCATTCTAACAGTCAAAAACAGATTCTCTGAAACTGAAAGTCATTCAACAGAATAAGCAATCAAACTGTAATAACTCAGTTAAACTCCACGTAGAAGAAAATACGTGTCTTACTCAATACCTGAGACATAATGCTCTTAAATGCTTCCCTCTGCATACAGAACTACAGTACAACAGTGACCTCTACAGGATTTCGAGGGCACTCAGTGTCTAGAGTTCCAAGGAATGTCTGTAAAATATTATTTCTCACAAATTTATTTGTCAAGAGTACAGGGACTTAAAACCTGACACTCCTGCTAGGTAGCAGTCTGAAGTCAGTAACAACCTGAATTTTACAACTTGTAAACATACAATTAGGACAAGTTTCTTTAACAGACATCCACCAGGTTTCTATGTAGCAAAACTATGTTGAGAGACATTTTAACCATTTTACTGATTCAAAAAACATTCCAGAAAGAACGTGTGGTGCATAGAACGTGTCAATTGTACCAAGTTTTTTTCCATTTATAATGGCTGTTCTACTTTTACTGTACGCATTGTTTTCTGTCGTCATCTTTATAAACCACAATTTCTTTGTACTGCTGTTCTGGTTTTGTACTTAAAGACTCAGTCTTTTCAAGGTATGTTTACTTTCCATCATGCTTAAAGGATATAAGCTGGTCTCATAAGTGGGAATAATTTAGGAGAAGGCACATATGAATAGCAAGGAAGCAGTTCCTACATACCAACCTCAGTTGGTATGTCCCATCCCTGGAGGTAGGGACATACATCCCGTGTTCTGCTGAACAAGGCCCTAGGAAACCTGATCTAGTGGATGTCATCCCTGCCCACGGCAGGGGGGTTGGAACTAGACGATCTTTATGGTCCTTTCCAACCCAAACCTTTTTATGATTCTGTTAACATGAGTTTAGTCAAACATCCAAGATAACATGTTTGCTCTAATCAGCATTATCTGTATTGGTGTATTCAGTTTTAGACCATGTAATTCAAAAATATGAAGTATTTATTATCTAGTAATCTGAGCTTTAAGGAAACATATTTCTTTCTGTAACTCTACAATCTATATATGAATAAACATTAAACAGTGAAATTATGTGTGTGGCTTCTCACGGGAACTAGCTCTGATTCTCTCATTATTTACAAATGTTTCAGTGATTAATAACTAAAAGTCTATAGAAAAATTACCATTTGACATTCTTTCAGGAACTTAAAGTAGAACAGAATGGTTGGAGAGCTGGTATTGAAAGAAACTTCTTACTGCATTAATTTCTTGATTATGATATTTATAGATGTTTCCCCACACCCCCCATCTTTAACTCACCAAATGGTAATACGAAGTAGACATCCAGTAAGATCTCATGTGAAGTTGGTGTTCTTGTGCCTTGAATCTCACTTCCATTTTTTATTATTTCAGAATGCAGTGTCCACCAGGCACCTGGACCTTCCTGGAAAAATATTCTGTAAGATCCTAGCATAGGATTTATAGCATTATCCACTTTTTCCCAAATCAAGTTTCTCTTAATCCAATGGGAGTCTGTAACACCAAAAATTTTCAAATCCATTCCAGACAGCATAGACAAATCCATATTAAGATGATCAGATAATTATGATGCAAGAAATATAAATATTGTAAGCTACCCTTATGAACAGAGACCTTTAGTTCCCCTTTGAACTGGTACAGGCACATTCTAGCAAGGCTTAATGATCAGTAACATGCTAATAACCAAACAAAAAAAAAAGCAGAGCTGAAGCAACTCTCCCTTATGTTATTATAACCCATAGCAGAACTGCAGAGTTGAGATGAACAGGATACATAACTAAAAGTTCATCATCAGTAACCTGATTATAAATGGAGGCTCAGAGAGTCTGAAGAAATTAAGTCTTAGACAACCTTGTTTAAAGTTTCTACATTAACTGATAAGCCACAACCACCACATCAGCAAGTCATAACTCAACAGCTAGGATAGCAGAAAAAAAACAACTGAACTTGGGGCCTCAGTGGATCTTGGCAGCTGTGAAACAGACCAACTTTTAATTTGAACAGGAGTTACTTGCTCTATACCCATCCTCTCAAGAATCAAAATGTCATTTCAATGTATATATAAATTAGTCCCTACAAAGAAATGGCTATGGAGATTGAAGGGATATGCTATAAGGAAGACGTTTTCTGATTTTCTCTCCATTTACTCTATTATCCAATTTACTTCATCAAATGCATTAAAAAAAAATAAAAATAAAGAGGGGCAGATAGATTACAAAGCAAATATTTTTATATGCAAAGAAAAGGTGAAGTGGAACTCTCAAATGATAGACTAAATCAATCTTCCTAAATTCAGAGACTTTCAATTTTATTTTATAGACCCCATGAACTATGTAGATGAAAACAGATGGGTATGAGAATTGTTGAGTATTAGAATAAGGCATCTCTTCTAACTTTTTCACACTTCAGACTGTTTCACAGTTCTTGCAAATTGCTTCAATATTTCTGCACTCCTGAAAATCCCTTTTCATAATTTTCTAGCCTGAGAGCAAGCACACTTACTCTGGTGGCAACTGTAACAATGTTGGATATTTAATAGCTCTTTGGATCTACCTGTTTTCTCCACTCATCCTACTGTCTTCTCATTGTAGTATTTCTTTCCTCATTATCACAGAGCAAATTTGTGTAAATTTGTGTTTTTCTGTCTCAGGGGAATTGGCTGCTGTGTCAAAGACAAAAACATTCTCTCCTCCCCCGCCTCCCCCCCCCCCCCGCCGAAGTTTAATAGAGATAGAGGTTTACCCAAGGTCACACTATAAAGAGCCAAGGCCAAGAACCACAAATTGAAATTCCCTGGCTCAAAACCCATAAACTGAACCATCTCTGCCTCTCTAATAGGTAGAGTACAAATGAACTCTAAACTACTTACTGAATTATACTTGACTCAGTGTGTGAGCCAGTTCTCCAGGGTGTACATGGCTAATTGACATCAGCTGTCACTAAGTCACATGTGCACTATGCCTCAGTATTACACACTGAAGCAACTGAGATTATAAATTTACATCGATTATAAGTGTCATTACACTAGTCTAGGAGACTAAAAACGAGAATTTCATTAAGTTTTACTTATTTGCTTTATATTTCCACAGAAGGTCAACTTACGTCTGTTGCATGCTCCACAGCTGCAAGGGGAATCCATAAAATTCCTAAAATGCTATCCCAGAGCAAGCCTTTCTTCCACAGCTCTATAGTGAAGCCCTTTTCATCAGCACTGATTTCACTAAAAACAATTAATACACAAATCATTAAACTGAAAATGCAGGCTCTTCTACTCCGTCATAACACCGATTTAGTGATTTACAGTATATACAGAGGGGTTTTATTTTCAGTATACTCATAAAATGCAAAATAGAGTCATGATGTCGACATTAGGCTGGACATTGTTCAAAACTGCTTTTTACAAACTGATGAGGACAATTCTGCTGAAAATATGTGGCACAATTGCCAGGCATCAGTAGCCTTATTCTGCTACATGATTTGGAACTACTGGATACAACTCAAAGAATACAGGACCAGGAAGTGCATTTAGCTCAGGTTCTTCTGAGCAGGTTCTGTATATGAGTTTTCCAGTAACCTCCACAGGACACTAGTTTCCCCAAGACAGCCCTACAGAATCTGCATTCTCAAGATCCACCAAAACTAACATAAGCACAGGAGTAAAATAAAATAGCTGATCTTTGGTAGGTGAGTTCTCCAGTGAAAGTAGGATTCACAATCATTTTTAACATAAAACTCGTAGGAATATTTTTAATGAAATCAAGGTTTGACAATGCTGGCCATGATGTTGCACACACTGTCAATCCATATGGACTTAGCTTCAGCTAAGAGTAATTTACAGTGGTATGGGAAAAAATTACATCTTCCCTCATAACAGCAAACAAAACCAAAAACAACCCAAAGAGAAGGAACAGAAACGATCTCCTATAGTGAAGTATGTCAGTTCCTAATATCTTGTTTTCATGGTAAAGAAGACAACTATAAAAGATGTTTGGAGCTTATTCCCATCATCAGAATTGAGAAGCTGCACTGCAGAACAGTGCAATGTGTAACAGATACAATGGGAAAACTGCTCTCAACTTCAAGAGTTACTGCTCCTAGCTTTATTTTGATTCTATTTATAAGATGCACGCACTTTATTACTAACTGGTTTTGAATTTGAGCCAAAAAAAAAAAAAATCATATCACAACCTTATTTTGCAGGATTTTAAAGCTAAATTTTAGCAGGATATATGACTCACCCATGACATTGAACTAAAATTGTGATAAGTGTAAATAATTTCTTCATAGTATCTGTCATTTCTTTATATTTTAACATAAACAATTACATAGCATTTCTGTAAATATGAATAAAGTATGCATTATTGTCTGCTGCTGTGACTGATGGTATGTAGTCTCTGTTTGAATTAAATTTAAGTAGTAAAAGTAATCTGATTTGTGTGGTGAATTACTATATATTCATAGGTATCAGGAAAATGCCAAATGAAATCTGAGAAGAGCAAAGGGTGCCAGTCTTCAGACAAGTACTAAACTCACCATGTCACACTATTGTCAGAAATGCTGTGTTGGATGCTTCAATGTCTAATTTTCCACTGTACTCGTGGAGTTAAATAGTGGGAGAGAATTTTTGTTCAGCTTGACTCTTTACAAATATATTAAGGAAAGAGTGAAACCTGAATATTAACTTTTTTGGTTTGTTTTGTATGAAATTAGTTAGCAGTGCAATGGAATAGGTTTGTCCTCATCCCTCACCCCACCCCCAAGTGTACTATAACAAGCAGAAAGGGAGTGTCCTTAAAAAATAGACAACATCATGACTTTATAGTACAAATTCTATATAAGTGTATTTTATAGTACCTTCTAAACATCTGTCAGGTTGTAAGTTTAAGCAGTAGATAGAGCTACAGCAGTCATATAATTTATTTCCTCCAACTTCTAATTAGATTTAGTTATTTCAGTGCATGCTGGAAAATTGGTTTATGGTTATATTAGCAATGAACTGCAAACTTAAAAATAATCCTAGTAAATTGCTCATTCTCATTGATGTCATGGAACACTCATTTATGTACATTATGAATAAAAACAAAGCAAATATAAAACAAACAAAGATGTTTTAACACATTTTTCAGGAGAATTTAAAGGACATGTTACACTTCCATTTTAACTTATTTTTAATTGCCTCCTTCTCTAAAGGTGATGGATAGGGTAATTGCTGAAATTTACATGTTGATCTTCCTGATACGCTATTACCTTGCCACTCAATGTTCTCTCACTGTTTTATAAAACTTTTATGTCCAGATTAAAGTGCCAAAAAATCATCTTGACAAAACTTTAGTGTACGTTAGAAAATGACAATCTTTTTTCAACAAGCTACAGTTGCAGCATAACTTTATAGAGGCTATATTGATATTAATATTGACATTAATATTGATATTGATTTTAATTAATTAATATTTATATATTTTTTTTTCTCATTATTTTCAAAGACAGATAAGCTACTCCAGTTTGGATAATTTAAGATGAAGCTCTGACCAGTCTGCTAGAAAAACCTGATGACTGAGAAGCAGAGGAGGAATTAGCCCCAGAATAAGATTATTTTTACATTGTTGGAAACCAGCCTTTTTGAATACCTCTTCGATATTCCATTACTCTAGCCATAAAATGTCATGCAAAGAAGGTGTAAACATTGGCTTAATGTAAATAAAAACTGGTCCATCTTAGTCTTCAATTAAAGCAAGATGATATTCTGTAAGAGTTCTCAGTTGCACAACAGTCAGTTGCATGATATCAGGAAAAAACTCCAAATTTAATAACTTCAGAATAAAATTCAGATGAAGCTAAGGACATCAAGAGAGACTAAAAGCACTATGACATAACATTGATTTACATGAAATATCTGTGAAGCAGAAGAAAAAAAGGATGGACATTTTAGCAATACCACCCTTAATATAGAATAAAATTGAATTGTATTGGGTTATTCCAAATAATGTTACATGTAGAGCCTGTCAAAAGATACTTATAGTTTTTAATAATCAGTAAATAAAGTAAAAATGTTCAAAATATTATTTGACAAATCATAAAAACTATTGGATAAAATATGTGAGAACAACTTTAAAGAAAAAGTCAAATAGTGTTTAAATTTGTAAAAATATTTCAACCAACTCTACCCTATCAGTTTCCACAAAGAGTATGTGGTGACAAAGATTTATGCAGGGAGAAAGGAGGAAATCAAAAGCATGGGAGAATGGACAGAAAAATAGTAGAGCCTACATATTTATTGTTCTTAAATACTGAGATAGTGGGAGTAACCTCATTAACTGCTTTGAAATTTTCACTTAAAAGTAGGTTTCATCAGAACGTCAGTCAATGTGTACATGCTTGGACCTTCTTGGGCAGTGAGGTTCTAGAGGCTATACAATGTTTTGGAAAAAAAGAGAACAAAAATGAATAACAAGATGGAGACAAGTTAAGAAAAAGATATGCAGACAGAAATGAAAAATGATACAGGTCAGTAAAGAAACTATCTAGATATGCTGTTAAATAAATTAAAGGGAAAGAACATATGAATTGCAGAAGGAGATTTGAGAAAAACAGAAATCAAGTTACATGAGAAACAATTTAAGATGTCTTTCCTCTTATTCCTGTGTTTCTAAAATATCACAAATTAAAGAACCTAGAGACAAATATTTTCTTTCCCTTGTTGGCTGCTGACCTTGATCTGTGGTGTGGCTGAATAACTTTGCTCTGCTCCTTAGAACTTGCCTGGCACCTTCTCTGAGCTGGGTATTTTTCCCTTTGCTTTTGCTGATTGTACGTTATCTCAGATATTATCAATTGTTCTAAACTATCCTATCCAAATACAGCAAAGATGCAACACAGACAAATGATATGAATCTGCTGTTACTTACAACATGAAGTCCTGTTCCCAGGAAGGTTCACTTCCTCTTCTGTCTATTGTAGTGCTTTTCAAATTATGGACTTTCAAAACAACATAGGTATTGAATGCATCTGAAAAAGTAGTAACAAGAACATTTAGTTACAGTCCTGTTTATTTATTTTTCTTCTAGAAGACATTCATCTCCAAGGTTATAGAGGTTTAACTCTTACCCCATCAAACACATTCAAAGATGTCTCTCAAATATGTGGATTTGAACAAGGAAATCCTTATTAATTATGAGATTATAACAGGAAAATCCCTGTACATTACAGGTAGGAGAGAACATAATCCTACATGTGAACAAGTAATTTAGTATTTTATCAGCTTCCAGATATGGCTTCTCTGGTTATTTATCCATTTCTCTGTTAGATTTTACATGAAACCAGCATGCATACCCTCTCTGCAAATTTTCTTTGGCTTCCAAGTGATATGATAATGGGGAATTAACTTATGTGCAATTAATGTGAGACCACAAACTTGTAGTAATGCAATTCCATCACATCTTTTGAGTGTGAATCTAGTTTTGTCTGTAGTTACAACTGCAAACTGGTCTTCAAGTGTTGTCCCCAACTAAACTCACCCTTGTAAAAATTATTGCAAATGCACTGAATTAATATTCTTATAATAGGACCTAAACAGCAGAAAGAATAGAACTGAAAATTTTTCAATCTACTTGAAAATATCACTGAAAAAAGCACGAGAATTACTCTGCCTTTTAGGGCCCATTTTAGTTTAACCCCAATAGGCAGCTAGGCACAACATAGCTGCTCTCATCCACAACAGTGTGATGTGGAGGAAAAGCAGAAAGGTAAGTGACAAAACTCATTGACTTGAGATAAAGACAGCTACAGGTCAAGCAAAAGCTTTGCAAACAAGCAAAGCAAAACAAGAAATTTGTTCACTACTTCCTATCTGTATGCTGATGTTCAGTCACTTCTAGGTAAGCAAGACTCATGGATAACAGTTTCTTGGGAAGACAAATGCTGTAACTCTGAGTGTCCAGTCCCTTTCTCCTTCTTTACCCCAACCTTTATTGCTGAGCTGGATACACATGTACGTTACAGAACATCACTTTGGTCAGTTTGGGTCAGCTGTGTTGGTTGTGTCCCTCTCCACTTCTTGTGCACCTCCAGCCTCTTTGCTGTCAGGGCAGCAGAAGAAGCAGAAAAGTCCAAGTCTGTGTAAGCACTGTTCTGCAATGACTGAAATATATCTGTGTTATCACCACTATTCCCATCAAAAATCTAAGAATCAGACAAGCCTCTGCAAAGAAAATTAACTCTATCCCAGCCAAAATCATGACAGGGCCTTACACAGGAATCTCGTGCAGCAAAGGGTGTATAACGTTGTCTTGACATAGCCATCCAGAAAAGCTTTCCAGCCTGTATTAACATCTGGCATTCTACGTAAGGATCAACACCAGCATACTTTTTTGTTTCTTTGTTTTGGAACTATTGTCAGAGATGTGCCCAAGAAACAAGCCATGTTTGAGCTGTCTATATTAACACAGATTAATCAACCACTCTAAGTAGAGGGGAAGCTGTCTACAACAGTCACTTGAATATATGGTATCAAATTACACAGCAACTACCAAAAAGCATGAAAATGAAGTTACCTCTGTACATCCTCTTTGTACACCTTATCAACCAGGAAAGATGATATTGTTTGACAAAAGGATGTTATGTAAGAACTTCTTTTTTTAAATAAAAACAGTGACCAATGTTATTTTCTATAAGACACCAATCTCCTCAAACACATCTTTTTTCTTACTTAGAACAAAATATTGACAAAGTCAATATAGATTTAGAAGTCTGTTAGCTTATTTTTGAAAAATCGTGTTAATGTGTGATTCACAGTGTCCTAGTAATCTTCCTGTTTACCTGAGTCAAAAGGTGAAATTTTGTGTTTTATAGTTAGAAAATAAAGTCATTTCTGGTTTGGAGACTTACAGCTTAAGTTGTGAGAAATTTTCAGAACAGATTTCCGTTATAATCACTTGTCTGAAAAATATCAACCTAAGGGGTTTAATTGCAACCATTTGGAGCACCTGCATCTATTTCTAAATGTAAATCAAAAACACAACAACCTCCCCCAAAGTTAAAACTCACTGCTTTAAAGGAAAACAAATGATAAGATAGAAAAATTAATTAAATTACTACTGAAAGCAGTAGTAAATCCCAATTACTTTCTGTCTTTCCCCAGGTCCATTTCTAGAATAAGAACTAAATAATTTTCAGTCTGTCTGCATTATCATTGTTTTCTCTTGCCTGGAGCTTTGTAATCTGCCTTTTAAAACTGCTGTTTCACCAGGAGTTCCTTGGCCTTTCTAGCTTTTCCCTGTATCTAAATGTTACCCTCCAGCACTTTACTATTAATTAACCTTCTTCAGATTTTTTGAGTTATATCAAGTAACAAAATGTAAAAGCTATCTTCCAAACCAGCAGATATATGTGAAAGCTATCTTCCAAACAAACAGATGTGTAACCTCCTGAAAGAGTAATTGTCAAAAGTGAATGTTACTCAGCTATTCTGGTAGTGGAAAGGAAACGTAGATTTTGTAAAAGAAAAAAAAAAAAAGTTTTGTTTCCATAAAGCCATTACTGCAACTCCCAATTCTTTGCCTGTCAAAAATGGGGGTGTCTAGTGCAATGCTGTGCAGGAAAAGGAAGAGCAGGTTGTACCTTTGCTCATATTTTTAGCTTTCAGTGCAAAACAGAGCACAGCAGCTTTATGGCAGTTTACACAGAGGAGCAAATCAGGAGAATCTAAGAGTTTTGAGAAACATGGGGCTATGTCAACACTATACTCAGTCACCATCTGTATAAATTTCTACCTCCAAAAAAGACCAATTATCAGAGAATACAGCATTCACACTATTTAACAAGTCTTCTACAGAATAAGGTAAAAGTTACTTAACTTGTACCAAACAATTCAGTTTGACAATCATCTTTTGTAGATTGTCACCTCTGAGCATAAATAAAAGATTTGCTGAACACCACAGAACAGTTTGATTATGTGAGGATTTAATGAAGTTTCTTCTGTCTGTACTTGATACACATACTTCAGAGCTTACTGTGAAGAACAGCTACTTCCAAGTTGAAAAATCAGGTTCCCAGAAAGCAGCTTAACCTGTGCTACTTCAGGTTATCTTTCTTTAATCCAGTTAACTCTGAACAACTTGCAGGCATCACTTAAACATATTAACCAGACAACTACTGGCAAATTGTTGCACTGATTAGGTTCTAGTTCTCAGGAGAAGCTGGTATAATGATTTAAGAAGATCTTGAAGAATCTAAAAAGAAAATCTAGTTTACCTATATGTGAGAAATCTCTGGCTAAGTTTTATATATATACATACATATATATATATATATGTATTTTTTTTTCCCTATTCCTTGCCTAAATCTTGGTCCTAGAGGCAGATTTATAGCATCCCGTGCAGCTTGATTTTGCTCGTGTTTATGGACTAGGGCCGATGTAACTTGCTATTCAGTTAGGTATGTCCTCCCACCTTCTTTTTCCTCACCGGGAAAATCCAGACACTCCTCCATCTAGTGAAGCTAAAACACTGCACTCTTTGTAATAAAAGTTTCTCTTGACCCATGAGATATTTAGGTCAAGTTATGTAAAATTGCTTTTTATTGGAAATACCTTTAACACTTGTTTGAGAGACAATAACAATTAGCAACTGAAAATAACAGACTGAGTCTAATCTGTTTTGTTAATTTGATCTTTAGAACACTTCCTCATTTGTTTGCTGAGGAACTCTTGATGGCATGTATATTAGTCATCCCAGGTTTAAATGATTTTTTAAGGTACCTGTACACACACATGAATTTTCAAGGAAAATAAAGTAAAGCAGAAATTAAAAGGGAAATCAGACTTACCAGCTGCTTTATCCAGCCTTCCTTTTTTCACTATAGAAAAAGGAAATAATTGTATTCATATCATACATTTACAATATTTATCAAAAATTTATTAAAAATCTAAGGGATTTCAGTGGTTTAAAAAAAATCGTAAGCAAAAATGAAAGCATCACTTACAAATATAAAGACCATTGTGATAATATCATTTCTTTGAATAAATTGGGAAAAATGTAGAAAGTTTTTACAGCTTACAGAAACTTAGTAAAAACTGGATACAATACAAATAGCAAAACAGAAACAAGGCAACCAGGGAGGATCACATACTAGCCATCACTTCATAATGCTAGTTCAAAATTCTTCTCAACAGAAATCGCAGAAGGCTCAGACTTCACATAATCTAATGTCTAGCATCTTATGTATATATATTTTTAAATATATATATTGTATTTACTCTACCTATTAGAAAAGACATGCTGTAGTAAATACCTTACCAAGTTAACATTTCAAATCCTGACTTTTTACAGATTTTAAATTCCACTCTGTGGTGTGACTTCCATTGTGGAAGAATACCCTGGAGCCAATAGGATTGTGATTCATTTAGATTTTCCTAAGTATGATAACCTGGTCATTATTTTAGATGGCATATAACTGTTAAACATCATTAAATTTAAACTTCAAAACAAGATAATCTTTAACTTTTCCTGGCGTATCACTGCATATAAGACAGTTCAGTTCAATTTGAATGAAACAATGCAGTCCAACAAAAATTAGGACTGCTCTAAGAGTATATTTATGCAAATTATGTATTTCAGTGCTATACTTATAACCTAGCAAATGCCAATAAATAAGAAAAACAGCAAGTTCATAGCTTTACATGGCAAAGGTTCCTATAGCTTACCATTGTTTTCTGACTCCCTCCCCACTTGCCTATTGTCTACCCTCCTTTTCTTTATTCTTGCTTTCACTTGTCCCTAAACATTCCTCAGTATTCTGTGGAGTTGCAATATATTTGGATAATGTCTATCTGACAACTTGAGTAATTCCACTGTGTTTTATGTTCTGAGAAATCTTTAGTTTTCAAGGCAAACAGGGAGAGACCATCAAACTGTTGCTGAACGACAGGCAGACTGTGGCTCCAAATACTGCCACAGTTCAACTGCACTGCAAGAGTGCAGAATTTATACACTGTTTGTACTACACTTCCATTGAAAGAAGCAGTACAAGAAATACTCCCACTCACTTAAATCACCAATAAATATTTGCAGTCTACGAAAGTGCTTCTAATAGTCACCCACTAAATGTCACATTATTAAAGGAGCCTGTATAAGAAAAGCCTACCTTTTATAGAGAGAAGTTCCATTCCAGTCGAAAGATGATTTTAAAGGAAAAATTATTTATTTTTTACTTACAAAAGGAAAAGAGAAAGTTCGGCTTGGTGGAGATTAAATCACTCTCTACCTCTTGTTTCTTCACTGCAGACATATGTTTCATTTTTCCTATGTGCTCCTCCCATGTTTTACATGGAGCAAAGCCAGCCAATTAAAGGACCAATTATGAAGAAAGACCAATGACAAATACTTTCTGCTTCGATAAACACCCAGAGATGGAAAAAGAAAGGAGAAATATTCTAATTGTTTCCTCACCCTCATTTCCTCAACTTCTATCTGCAGTATGCAGCTGCCTCTAGTCTAAACAACATTCCTGAATGCCATCTTCATCTGGCAAGAACAACCACTGCAGCTATTTTACTAGCAACATACTTTGTTATTTCTTAACCTTTCATTTTAATATTTTCAAAACACTGGAAGTGTACAAAAGGTTTGATCTTTTACACATGGGTTCCCACAGTCAGAACTTTTATTTTACTGTATTAGCTATAGCTAAGCGTAAGAAGGCTTAACTTTCTAAAATAAATACCAATATTACAGACCAAAACAAGTTGCATTTTAATATACTACACAAACTTCTAACATTGTTAGTCAACTTTATTTTTCACATGATCTTGCACCTGGGGCACAACAACCCCAAGCAGAGCTACAGGCTAGGAGATGAGTGGTTGGAAAGCTGCCTGGCAGAGAAGGACCTGGGAGTGATGGTTGATAGTCGGCTGAATGTGAGCCAGCAGTGTGCTCAGGTGGCCAAGAAGGCCAACAGCATCCTGGCTTGTATAAGAAGCAGTGTGGTCAGCAGGTCTAGGGAAAAGATTGTCCCCTGTACTTGGCTCTGGTGAAGCTCCACCTCGAGTACTGTGTTCAGTTTTGGGCCCCTAACTACGAGGACACAGAAGTGCTTGAGAGAGTCCAGAGAAGGGCAACGAAGCTGGTGAGGGGCCCTGGAGAACAAGTCTTATGAGGAGTGTCTGAGGGAGCTGGAATTGTTCAGCCTGGAGAAGAGGAGGCTCAGGGGTGACCTTATCACACTCTACAGGTACCTTAAAGGAGGCTGTAGTGAGGTGGGGATTGATCTATTCTCCTATGTGCCTGGTGACAGAATGAGGGGGAATGGACTAAAGTTGCGCCAGGGGAGTTTTAGGTTAGATGTTAGGAAGAACTTCTTTACTGAAAGGGTTGTTAGGCATTGGAACGGGCTGCCCAGGGAAGTGGTGGAGTCACCATCCCTGGAGGTCTTTAAAAGATGTTTAGATGCTGAACTGAGTGATATGGTTTAGTGGAGGACTTGTTAGTGTTAGGTCAGAGGTTGGACTAGATGATCTTGGAGGTCTCTCTTCCACCCTAGATGATTCTGTGATACTCTTGCAATGTTAAAGTATTTTTCAACTATACTCAAAACACTGAAATCACTAAGAACTGTGACATTTATGACTACTTGTTCAGATTCGTTGGGTTATTTTTTTGTGTGTGTATAAGTATATATTTCTCACAGACAAGTAACATCTTAAACTTTTCGGTCTCCATCATATTAAAATTTAGCGTTTGATCTTAGGTCTTAAATTAAAGAGAAGGAGTGTCCTCAGAACTGAGGAGGGAGGCATAGACCTTTTGACTTCAGTTTCTGTTGAGATGTTGTCTGAATTTCAGTGAAAGGTGAGGACAGTTCAAAAAGAGGTTAATGCTGAGAATGTTTAATATGGAAAAGAGAAAAAAAGCAGGTTGGGGGTGGGGGTGAGAGGTAGAATTTATTAGTATTTTTAAAGATCTGATGGGAGGTGTAAACCAGACTGACTCCTCTTTTTATTGCCTAGTAACAGGACAAGAGTCTGTAGCCACAAGTTGAAATTCGATATATCATATAAATATTAAAAAAATAAATAAAAATCATGAGAGCAGTTTAACACTGAAATATAGGCTGGCCAGAAAGAACATAGAGTTTCCACCTTTAGAGATACTCAAAACCTGTGTACAATCCCTGATCCTGTTGAAACAGGAAAGTTAGAGTAAACTATTTCAACAGCTTTCTTCCAACTTCAACAATTCTCTGATACAGTGGCCTAAACTGCGTTTAGAATGACAAAATTCAGTGCAGAATTTTATGTAATCTGCTATCACACTGCAGGATGTGCATAGTCTTTTGGGAGGGTAGGGTTGTGTACCACAGAAGTGTCAAGTATTTGTTTTAGGATCTTGCAACTATGTGATAATGTAAAGTTAATTACTTTTCAATTTTGCTTTTTAGAATAATATGCCCGCACTTCTCCTCTGAATTCTATTTACTCTGAAGAAGTCTCCCAGAACTAGATTTACACCTTACGCAAACAATGGAGTTTCACTGAACTTAACAGAGCTAGTCTGGTATTAACTGGCTGAAAATCTAATCCTGAGCTTGTATTTGGGTCAAAATTCAGAAATGTTTACCTCAGAACAGAGGTGTGATCACTGCTCCCAAGGTTCATTACAGAGTCTACAAAAAGTCTTCACACAAGTCAAAGTCACACAATGTCATCTTTGTATCCTGAATCTGTGCAAACTCGCCTCCTCTTCCCTTCACTCACTTAGCTATCACAGCCCTTAGTGTGGCATACTGTGACTCTCCTATTCTCAGATGGGGTCTCTCTGCAGCACCCTCAAACATACTTTTCCAAGCAAAAATTGTTTTTGTTTTTTTTTGCACAACTGCATTTGGCATTTGATGACCCACTCACTCATTCTTATATTATGAGTGAAGTGATCATACAGTTTTCTTACAGCAGTGCTAGTCATTTTTATTCCTGTTTGAAGACCAAGATGATGCTTACAAAAATAAGAAGATTATGGTTTGCATATTCATTTTTTAAATACGTTCTTCCAAGTTTTTCTTTCTATGAAGCACAAAAATAAGCATATAATTTCAAACACACAAACCCCACAAAGGACCATCTCAAGCTAGTCTACATTTCCAGCTGGGAAATGATCACTGTGAATTGAGAACAGCGTATGTGCAAGTGCTTTCTCACTTGGAAAAAATCATTACATTTAACATCAACAACAAAGCACTGAGCTTGAATAAGCTGTTAGGACAGTGGCTAAAGAGATAAGAATAGAAGATGCAGTACAAGAAGCATGTTTCACTAACTAATATTTTCAGTAACTCCAAGTAAATACCTTATTAGCCATGCCTTCCCCAATGTTTTCCTCCTCCATTTTATCATTTCTTATTTAATGCCTGATATTTTTCTTCAGTACTGTAAGTTGACTTCAGTTAAAAAGTCCCAATATTGCAGATCCATATGAAGAATCAAGAATTCAGGAAGACATTAAAAGAATGAACAGAATTAGTTGTCTTGCATTTCTAACCGAAAAGTATAAAAGCTGTCTGTATTTCCACCCCATTTCAATAGAAGAGAATAATAAGGTACAGTGCTTTTGTTAAAGATGTGTCACTTGATACTTTACATCGTTGAGTGATCTTCTTCTGAAAGATGTATGTAATTGTTTTGTTTTTAAAGGTGTTATATTTCCTTGTTTGTAATTACATAACATTAGCAAATTGAAACCTTGCAGCATCAAAAGTAAAGAGATTTCAGTCTGATGATTTACCTACTTGGCATCAAAACTACACATTGTTCTTCGCAGGAAGTTCTTCCTCTACAGGATATTTGTAATTCAACAAATATGGTCATGAACACATGGTTTCTAATATAATATGTTGCAGAGAGAAAAATGAACAAAGCACATTTGAATACTGATTGCAAAAACATATGAAAAATAACCTCTAAGTTCTCATAGAAGAATGAAAACAGACTATTATGACTAAGAATTCTTAGTAATAAGAAAGAATAATAAAAAAAATAAAGAGTTCAAAGAAGAATTTTTAGCCAAATTTCAGTTGTTACTAGAAGTATGGAGCGTAGAAGTTTCCTTGCATAATTTACATTTCTATCTGAATATTATGAAGCAACCTTTTATTCTGACCTGGGTATATATTTAAAAAGAACCTTTGTCTTTGGAACTCCAGCATTTAATCTTTCTTTCTATTGAAATTCCCCCCTTGAGAAGAGGGGGAATCTGCTCCTTTGCAAATTAATGCGATGACTGAATTTTCCAGCTTATTAACTTTGATCAGTATCTCCTTAGTATCTCACTAGCATATGAAGCAATATGCCAATCACCTCAAAAGATGAGATAAACTGGGGTTTTGGCCTTTCCTTTGAAATCAAGTATAGACTTAAAATAGAAACTAGCATGAGGAGATTTTTGTCTATTATGGGAAAATTACACATTCTTCACATCAAATTCAAAAGACATTCTCTTTATTGTGATCACAAAACTAAGCTGAAAACAATGAGGAATTCAACCAAGAGTCAGAAAAAATCAGGCTTTCCAGATTTCTTTTCTACCTTTCAGAAACAGATTCTACATTCCCAGATAATTACTAATAATTTTTCAGGAGATGCCATAAGTGATAAAATGTAGAAATAAGGAACTTTAACAAAATATGCTATCAAGAGATGTATCAAAACAACAGGATAAGCAGAAAACCAGGCAGCTGATTTTTGAGTCTGAGAAGATATGAAGCAATATTGAAGACAGGAACTACAAATTAGACTAGTTTGTTCCCTGACTCCTGAAGATAGGCACAAATATGGTTAGGGATAACTGGTGATGTGTTCTGGGCTTTACAAGAATCATCTTGATAGTGATGCATTCTATTTACCCTTTTCTGAATGGAAACAAAGAAATGGTTCTCCTTACAAACATTTCATGTTGTTAACCAAGTATATGGATACAAATTTCACTGAAATATCTATTCACTAGTTTTGGAGATTAATAACAAGAAGTCAAACCACAGTAATAAAAACATCCTAGAGTTGTAACACATGCAAAAGATGTCTTAAATTTGTATTCAATATGTCATATGCTTTGTAGTCACAGGAGCTAGTAGGTTAGTAGTAGTTTTATCTGGCAGGTTTTTCCTCTCATTCTATTGCTGCAAAGCGGTATTTCAAGTAGAATTAAGGTAGATGCCCATAGATTTCTGAGTTTCTGAATAACTGAACACCTAAAGATAATGATAAAATTTTGTTGTTTTTAATTTAGGAAAAAGCTTTATAAGAAATGGATGAGTAAACCCAGGTAAAACATACAGAT